TTATGCCCATCACGATTCATAGGATCTAGGGCAAGAAGGGTAACATTACCCCTGGTAGTTGTTCCAGTGATTGATTACCCTCTGTGTTAATAAATTATGCCTTATTACTAATCTGACTTTGTCTAGCTTAAACTTCTAACTACTGGATCTTGTTATACCATTTGCTGCTAGACTGAGGAGCCCATTGTCAAGTATTTGTTCTCTATATCGGTACTTACAGATGACCAAGTCACCCCTTAACCTTCTCTTTGTTAAGCTAAACAGATAGAGCTCCTTGAGTCTCACTATAAGGCATGTTTTCCAATCCGTCAATCATTGCTGTGGGTTTTTGCTCAACCTTTTCCAGCTCTTCTTGAACTGTGAGCACCAGTTCCAAATCCAGAGTATAAAATGGAATTAATGCCCATTACATCCCCCTGCAGTCAAACATGAACCTTAAGTTTAAATACCATCCTGAATCAGGATCCATAGCATGAATTTTTAATATTTAGACTCTTCCTCCCTCCAAATAGTATATGGAACAGGATATACTCTAGATGAACAGTTGCTCTTCTTTGTAGCTATAGTTATTCCTGAAACATCACAGCTAGTGTTCACAATTAAAGGGAGAACATATGTACTAATGGTTTCTTTTGTGATAGAATATGTAACAGATTATACTGTTGCTCCAGGCACAAATTATTATAAAGGGAAATAAGAGCATGATAATGAATTTTCTTTTTGTTTTACAGGAAAATTTAATCACCCAGAAGTCATCCAACTTGTGTCTTCCATTAATATAGAAAGAAATAAAAAAATAGCTGCTACAGCAAGTGAGCCATGTGCTTGATTAATTTTAAAACTTCTGTAGCTAAAATAAAATATTCATTTTGCTGCTACAGCATCACTAATTTTTCAGGAGTGTTTTTTCTTTCCATTAATTGCTGGGAATCCATGGAAAAATATAGATAAGGGAAATTGGCATCCTATGATATCAAATGCAAAATTATCCTGAGATCAAACAGTGTAACTAGGGTTGTCTTGTCTTTTTTTTAGTTTGATGCAACCTGTTTAACTTGTATAGTCAATTGCTTGATCCAATTTTGTTCATTATGAAATACAGTAGAACCTCAAAAATACAAACACTAGAGTTATGGACTGACTGGTCAACCAGACACCATGTGAAACTGGAAGTAACCAATCAGGCAGCAGTGGAGACCCCAAAAGAAAAGGCAAATATGGTACTGTGGCCGTATTGCATCTTCAAGGTAGCTGTGGGGAGCACCTACTCACAGGTAGGAGTTGAAGACATTGAGATTTGCAGGCAAAGCTGTGAGCCCCTGCTGCCAGCCCAGGGCAGCAGGAGCAATATTGGGGTCTGCACTGATTTCACCAGCATCCACCACTCCCAGTCAGGAGGGGGACAAGCTGGCCCAGGCAAGACGCTGCCGCTGGAGCCAGAGCTATGACCAACCTCTATTCCCGAGGTGTCCGTAACTTGGAGGTTCTACTTCTACTGTATACGCAAGAGACCAAATAGCCAGTGTTAGTCCAATTTATGGAAAAAGGTTCCATATGATACCAGTCTCCAGGAAGCCATCTCATATGGCATTGTTTCATTCACCTTACACAGGTGTGCTCCCAAAGTTACACTCCAAATGCCATCTTTTTATACAAGTAAAAAGTAATGTATAGGTCACCTAAAACTAGATTTAACCAATCTGCCTTGTTTTTCCAGTACCCCTTAGCACTGGATACATGCATTCCAGGTACCAAAGGGCATGATGGCACCTCCTGGGTTTGTACTAGCATAGAACAATCATATGTCTTGTCCTTTTCCTTTAGGATAGACCAGTACTGGTCTGTGAGAATAAGTCGCTACCTGTTCCTATGGTAAAATGATCATATGTCCTGACCCTGACAACTTTTCTATCTACTTAAGCCAGGGGTGGGCAAACTTTTTTGGAACCCTGATGTTGCCCTCAGGCCAAACTGTATGGAGGGCCGGGTAGGGAAGGCTGTGCCTCCCCAAACAACCTGGCCCCCACCCTCTCCCACTTCCCATATGGATGTCTCAATTGCCCACCACTCTGTTAATAGTTAGGAAGAGAGACTGGGCATCAACGGCATGTTTATACACAAGTTTTTTGGGTATAAAAATGCCATTTTAGAATTCTTGCACACTGTGCAAGTAGCACGTATAGTCCTATTTTAAATGGCTATAATAATCATCAGGTTTATGTGTTTCTAACTATCAATGATGGGGAAAAATAAATTTTATTTCAGATAGCTAATATAAGCTATGGGGGTGCCCCAAACCATCCATCTGCAACTTTTTTTTTGTATTTCCATTGTAATACAGTCTTGTTCTAATAAAATGTTACAAGGGGCATCTTGCTAATAAAAACACACAAGGCAGAGACGCTCATTTTAAAAACCTCATTTTAATAAAAATCACTAACTTCATTTACACAAACTATGTAATTGTTTTTAAAAATAAAATGAATGTTTATGCACAATGCTGCAACAGAAACTTGCAAATTGTCACCAAAAAATTAATTTGCTTTCTGTGTAACATTAAAATAAATCACAAAGAAGCATTTGAGATGTGTTCAGAATCAACTTGTCACATGGGAGAATTAAGTGTAAGAAGTTAAAAACAAAAACAGTACCCCTGTAAAACCACTTTGATACAGGATTTTCCTGACAAGCTTTTAGCAAAACCTTGGATACAGAATGGCTAAAGTTGATTTGAAGCTTTGCAGTATGATAAAATTCAACAGGCCTATTTTAAAAGCAGGCTACATTCCTCTCCCCCCTCCTTTCCTTGCCCCTTCCCCCGCATTCATGTTTATACTTGATAGGCTTTTACTGCCACCAATGGCTGGCTGGCTGACAACACTATAATAACCTTACTGTTCCTTTTCTTAAAGTGATGCAACAAATCATGCTGCATCTAAGCTAAGAGATGATTCTGGCTTCCTGAAGATTGAATTATGCCCTGAAGTGCAGTAAAGCAGGACAGTTTGGCCCAGTCTGAAGCACATACTCAGCCAGTGTACCATAAAATGTAAGGTTTATACTAAGTACTAGCTCTGGACTGTAAACTAAAGGCATGGCACATCTTTGTTAAGTTGTTGTATACAGATTCTCTCAAGGCTCTAACTCTAATGAGGCTCACACTATTCAGTCATATATTAATCTGACCTTCTTTCTAAGGAGATGGTATGGAGGCAAACAGGTACAGTTTGTGTTTGTTGGTTTAATACTGAAATTGGGTCCCAGCATCAAACAACAGAACATGTTTTTCAATTGTAGCGTTTCCTGCTGTGGGACAGTAACTCAGTGGTCTCCAAACTTTTTTGATCACGCACCCCCTGCCGAAGCAAAGCAAAAAAAAAAAAAAAAAAAAAAGCGCGCTCCTCCTGCTGCGCACCCCCACTTTGGAGACCACTGCAGTAACTGATCAACTTAGTTTGCATCTGAACAATTAGGTTCCTCTTTAGGGGAGGAAATTCAAAGACAGACTGTGGAAGTGAAAAAGGAATAGAGACATCAGTGTAACAACAAATGATTCTGTTTACTCCTTAAGCAGCTCAGGTCATGTCTGTATGCTCAGTAAAGGGCACTAGTATAATTTGGTGGACAGCTGGTGTACAGACTATTGCTGGCAACAGAAATCCTTGCACAGTCCTAGACCCATCTGTCTGCTGTGGCACTGAGAGGGGTTACATAATCGGTGGAAACATGCATACTAAAAACCCATTTAGTCCTTTAAATAAATAAAAAACAAAGAAATTAACAACTGGACCAGAGGTGTGGAGTGAATTGAAGGGAAAATACCATAAAGCAAGAACTGTTTGGTTACGTTATAGAAATTGGAACATTAAGAAATGATGGTGTGTGCAATTTCTATGGAGTATAAAAATGCTTAATGGTAAAAATGGCCTAGTAAAAATACCAATACATTTGGAAGAATGACTACAGTATCACATGGGTGAGGCCATTTTCAAGAGGTTACAAAGCCACATGTCTCAAGCTGGATGTGGAAAGGAAGCATAGAAAACACTAAGTCTCACCAGGTCGGATACAGATGGCCAGTAGGGGCTACAGTCTAACACTGAAGTTCCTCCTCGTTCTCAGGAAGTGGAGTGCCTGTGATAGAGCCCTGAGCACTGGCGTGGGCAGTAGAACTGAGAACTTCTTCAAAACTCCCCCCACTGGGGCTTGTCCCTCCAACCTTCGTCTGAAATATGGCAAATAAGGGAAGAAAACAGTGATTTTTCTCATTCCATTCTGCTTATTACCCCCTCTCCCCCCACAAAAAAACCCTCAATGTTTTGTTTTAAAAGAAAGTTGACTGACTTTTCTACGGAGATAGAGGAAGCAAATGTTCTCATACCCTGCAGCGTAGGTAGCACTTCAAAGCATACACTGGGCTTGTATTCAGAGCTTTTGATACTTTTGTCTTTTAACTACACAACATTCTAAATATCAAGGCTGAGCTTTTCAAAGCTGCCTATGGTATTTGGAAATTAAGTGCCCATTACATTAAATGGGAACTGAGCATCCAAATCATTTAGGTGGCTTTGAAAATTTAACGTGTGTGTGTGTGTGTGTGTGTGTGTGATTTTAATGAGTATGTTTTGTTTCTTATATTTCTCTATAGGACTAGATTTTTTCCTCCCTTGAATACGTTGAGTTGCAGCTCACTGTGTAGTTAAAGCAAGGGCTCTCTGTTCAGAATAAGGTACGACTCAATGTAGGTAATGGTGGCAGAATTGGGCAGTGAATAGATGTTGTTACCCATTGAAGAAGTCAACAGAATCAATTTGATAACTGGAGAAAACAATTAAAACTGGGTTAAGGGCCTTTAAAAAAAAATCAGATCCAAGTTCATTTAAATTTGCTTTCTGTATAAAATGCTAAAATAAGTCCCATATATGAGGCACCTGAGGGAAGTGCCCAGCATCAACCTGTCTCCAGGGACATGGATTATGGAGAAATAGTGAGTATAAGAACTAAAAATAACCAACTAACTATGCTAAAATCTTGTCAGGAAAATGCTGCTTCAAATGTTTAATCTGTAAATAAAGCTTTGGCAAACCATAGCACATTTGTCCCCCTCACCCAAGCAGTTGCCTTCTTTAACCACTCCTCCGCTGGACAGCAGATTTAGATTTAATTAAAGAAGGACTTTCATAAGAGCTGCTTTGAATTAACAGGACAGTGTCCCTTAGTTCTGGCCTGGGCATCACTTCTGCAAGTGGATTCAGGTCTGTGGACAGAGCAGGATATTTTTCCCCCCTTCCACAGCTGAAGGTGAAAGATAAAAGCTGCTTTACTGGATTCCCCTAGCTGAGATCCAGTGTGTAGTTCATAGAACCATAGGTTTAGAAAGGACCACAAGCATCATCTAGTCAAACCCCTCTGGATCCTTTCCAGTTTCTCTATATCCTTCCAAAATGCGGGCCTTTTCCAGACTCTCAGCCAAGTGAATGCTTAGGAAAAGGATTATAATTAAATGGACTCTGTGTCCTTTGTCTCCAAAGGGTTAATCCTATGTAATCCTTTGTTTCATTTGCTGATACATGATGAAGAGCAGGATCAGCTTGTCTAGTTTGAGAGAGCTATAAAATAAAGTAACAGGATTGTAAGTACCTTGCCCTGAACAATACAGGCCCCAGATGGAAAATCTGTCTGAATTCTAGGAGAGTTTACAAAACATTCCCTCTTTATTGATATTTGCAAATGGTAATAGATGAGATATATAAAAAAAAAAGTTGGCTGACTATAGATATGGAGACATTATGAACAGGAAGCAGCTGCTCCATGATTAAGATTACAACTGAGTTTCCATTATAAGCCTTATTTTGGACCCACTTCTGAAATCCACAAGTCATGTTGGCCTGAGATCTAGGACTGATGTAGAATTTTTCAGCAAAATTTTAAGCAACTCAGAATTTGGACATCCTAAAAACACAGCTGTTAAATATATTTACAATTATTTTCTTTTTTTTTGTCCACTCTGTAGCTAAAAAACAGAAATAAGGTAAAAGATAAAATCTGCTTTACTGGATTCCCCTAGCTGAGATCCAGTGTGTATAGTTCATAGAACCATAGGTTTAGAAAGGACCACAAGTGTCATCTAATCTAACCCCTCTGGATCCTTTCCAGTTTCTCCACATCCTTTTTATACATTGGTGACCAAAATTGGACAGTACTCCAGCTGAGGCCTAACCAGCGCCGCATAGAGTGGTTCTATCGCCTCCTGTGATTTGCAATGCTATGCCTCTGTTAATGCAACCTAAAGCTTCATTTGCGTTTTTGGTTTTTTTTGCAAAACCATTGCATTGTTGAGGTTGTGATCTACCACAACTCCCAGATTCTTCTCAGCAGTGCTGCTGCCAAGCCAATTATCCCCCATTCTGTATTTGTACGTTTAGTTTTTCTTCCCAAGTATAGCACCTTACATTTGTGGCTGTTGAATTTCATTTTGTTGTCTATAGCCCAGTTCTCCAATTTATCAAGATCCCTTTGAATTTTAGCTCTGTCCTCCAAAGTGTTGGCAACTTGCCCCTCCCCCCACTGCTTTGTCATCTGCAAATTCTGATTGATTTTCAAAGGAGCTCCAGGGAGTTAGATGCCCAGCTCCTATTGATTTTCAATGAGAGTTGGGCAATAACTCTCAGGCCCCTTTGTCCTGCCTAATGTCCAATTTCAAGGTTATTAAAATTTGATTTAGTGGCATCCCCAAGGAACATCAGCTCTGGCACTCTTACAACAGGACATCACAAGACTGCTGGAGACCTATGTTTGCTATTTAAAACAAATAAAAACATGGCTCCAACCCTTTTCTTTGCAGGAAGGAGCATAAGGAAGTTCTCCCCTCTTCAAGATCTCATTAGGTCACTGTAACTGCTCTCCTCCAGACCCACTCCCTGGAAAGTCTGCTGCTGTTGAAAGTAGAGGAGCTCTGCCCTTGCAGACCTTAGGTTATCTGAAGATGTATGGGAAGAGAGGCACTTGATACAGCTATCACCACCACCCTCATCACCATGGTGTTGAAAAATCATGGCTCAGTTTTTTCCTCTTGCTCCTTTGTGCCAAGGGAGAAAAACAATGCTGAGATACGTGTTTGCCATGAGAGCTTGGCATTGACTTCAGTGTTGCTCTGGATACAGGAGCTGACCCATTACCTAGGACTCTGGGGTTAGGGGACCTCAATTGTGAGACTGAAGAGCTCCTAGATGGTGGTTTACTTGCACCCTCAGCACTCAACATGGGATGATTTAGCTAAGGCCCTGTTTGCCTACTTGTTCCAAACTCAGCAGAATGAGATCAGGATCTCAGTGCCTGTTTCTCAGGCAGATCAGTGTCAGAGGATGATGCCTTCAGAACTGCCTTTAAGAAGTGAGCTGAGATGGCTTGCCTGCATTCATTTGGTGTAGTTGACACACTGGACCCTGGCTGAAGCAGACCCTGAATACATTTGACAGTGATGGAGCAGCAGGAGGTGCACAGCTTTCAACTAGTAGACTTGGCTGTGGCCATCTTAGGTAGGCCCTCAACATTGCAGGAATGGCTTAGTGGAGCCTTAACAAGGAGTATAAATACTGAACAGGGCTAAAAAGCGTAACTGTAGCTCTGGTAACTACCCTCACTATAAGCAAATAATTATGTACAAAACCCACTAATCTTTCTTGATAAGAACAATGGAGACCCCATAGGGTCCTGCTATTGCCTTTGGTCGTCACGGGGGCCCATGTGATGGTTGCACCTCCTTGTACAAGTGTGTATGCTAGGAGTAGTGCTTAATTTGTGCCAGGGCTAAGCCCTGGCACCACTAGGCTTAGCAGTTCAGAGCCCTAGTACCTCTAGGCTTGCTGCATCAGTTCTGAATGTAAAAAAATTACTTGTGCCCCTGCAATTAATTGCTTGAGCCTTTCATTACAAATTAAGCATAGGATGGGGGAGGATAAAGATTAAGCAGGGTGTGCACACAGCCCCAACAGACAGCAAGTCCAAGCTCACTCATGCACAATGCACAATTTTAGAAGGGTTTCTTTTGGGTGATGGTGGCAGTTGAGCACAGAGAGATAAGTGAAAGTGTAGTAGGAGGTGGAAGGATACTTAAGGCACTGGACTAGGACCCTGGAGATCTGGGTTCAGTTCCCAGGACTGGCCTTGTGTATCTTAACTTCCTACTTGTAGAGTGAGGCTTCAGTGCAGGTAAATTCAGTAATCAGATATAGTGATGTATTGGCCATAAAAAACCTATAACCATAGTACTTTGAACATCTGAAAGATACAAATGACAGAACAGCTCTAAGAATTTATTGATGGAAGTGTTGGTTCTGGAGCACTCAAGGCCAAGTCCAGCCCTCCATTAACTAGGAGTTACACCCTCTTCCTCCAGGTCTGGACTGGAAATTTCTCTGCTATAACATTTCAATCATGGTGTCCATGAGACTAGATTTCCCTATATACTTGCAGCCTTGAGTCTTAGTTGCAATTTGTATTTGGGTAATAAAGCCATCTTCTTACTAACCTAAGGATATTTACCTGAGTGTCATAACAGACACTGGCACTCATGCAACAAACATTGTCAGTTCTTCTCAAGGCTGAAGGTTGATGAATATAGCTCTAGTCAGCACAAAGAAAAAATGCACTTTGTGATCCAACTGAATCTTTACACCACACTGAACCAAGCAGCATTTTTTATGCACACATCTTCATCAGAAGAACGAGATGGCTTGGAAGATGGTCTCTCTGCTCACCCTCCGCACGGTGCAAAGGCTAGCTCCTTCTAAAGGTGCCATGCTCTGCTCTGTTAATGTGGTAGCACCAAAAGGTGCTACTGCCTCATGTCTGATATATCAACTGTTAATCATCGGGGTAGCTCAAGGTTGTCATTATAATTTACCTTTCCTTCAGTACAGACTTTTACACAGTTTTGAGGCAATCCAGAGGAAAGATTGACATTAACTGGGAAGTTAGTACTTGACATTTTAAAGAACGATTCAAAACTCTGGGCCAGATCCAATCAGCATAGATCAGCATCTATCCATCCATCCATCGCACCAGCTAAGCACCCGACCCTCACTGTTTCAATGGGGCATTGGTTGAGACTGTTTATTTAAGCTGACAGACAATATAGTTTGTTACTTGGCATTCCAGAAGCAAAGAAAGAATTTTTCTCTGCATATTGCCTTCCTTTTCTTTCATTGCACTACAGCTCCACTAAATCCTTCATGGAAGGATGCAATCCAATCTGCCTTTGGCACAAATGACAGTGATGACTAAGCTGTCACTTTAACAAACACAGCCACATAACACAGCTCCTAATCATTACCTTCAGGCTTGTGACAGTGGTCTCAACCTTCTCCTCAAACGATTTGAAAGTTGGAGAATTCCTAGGAGGAAAAACATGATAAAAGAAGAGAGTCAGTTCTGAACCTAATTGTGTACAGTAACGGCACGGTTTATTTGTCCAATTTCTGCTAGACAATGATCCCAGCACAGAGCGAGGACTGGTTGTCAGTATGCAACCACACATTAATAGTGTGCTACTAGCAGACGCTTGTTTTGCTGTCATTCAAATCCAATTACACTAATCTGAGTAGTATTTTTTAAGCTACACACTTGCAAGAGCAGAATCTGTAATAATTTAAACTGAATATTTACTATTCTCTGACAGCTACTCTATGCTGTGATACATTTATAGTATCCTCCTAAGAGCCAAGGGACTGCTGGCCCTAATTCTGCATTTCCTTGATTTTATCCATTTGTTTTGCCCCACTGAAATAAACTTTTTGTCTGTGAATAGTAGGAAATTCAATGAAAATGACGTTTTTTAAAAATATCATTGTAATTTAGTGCCTCATCCTGCAAAGTGCTGAGTGCCTTCAATTCCCATTGCTTTCCAATGGGAACTGGAGATCTCGGCCTTTAGCAGGATCAGGCCCTTGGGGCTAGAGACACAAAGAAGCTGAGCCATAGAAGCACTGAGCATTCTAGAAAATCACTGGGATTCACAAAGCTTGGGTCAGGCTCCTTGGCTTCCTCTACAATGAATGGAGACGGACAGGCACCTCAAGGGGTTCACAAAAGCCAGCATGCTAGGAAGCTCCTTGCCTAAGCTAACCAATGGGAGATGCCAAACAGGTGTGTGCTAAACCCTGCCCCCTCTAAGAAAGAAGAACCTAAGTTCCAGCTGCAGAAAGGTGCCTCTTTCCGCTTGTGATTCACAGCGGCAACTGTCTCATAGGCACCTATGCCGTTTTGGCAATAAGCTGGAGGGAAGAGAGAAGGAGAACCGCCTTCATAACTTTTGTGTAAGTTCGTTTGTGGGGGCCCAATCCAGACAAGCGCTGAGCCTGCTCACCAGATCAGGGCCCGCAGGCGCGCTAGCAGAGGAATGCCTATTTCCCCTTGGTCCGTGCATCACTCTGGGTAGGGCGTCTGGACACCTGGCTGCAGCACGCACGCACACAGACAGAAACAGGCGCCTACGGAACTTTTAATAAACATGTAGGTGCTGACCAGTTTTAGACACCTGCATGGTTTGGAAGCAGCTGAGCTGGGGTTTTCTGAATCCCAATGGGATTCTGGGAATTAGGCACCTAAAGTGCCTAAGTGGCAGTAAGCCCTTAGCATGCATCTATCTGCACCCAGTTTGGCCCCTAACAAAATCAACTGACGTTCTGTCTCTGACTCCAAAGAGGGTAGAAATGAGCCCTTTGAGTGAGAGTCATGGGTGTGAAAATATCTTAGAAGAAATAAAATGTACATCAGGGGTCTGATTTTTTGTTCGGTGCAAGTGACAGTCCTCTTGCCAGTCAGTCCGCCAACTGCAGCCTATTTTATTCAAAAACTGAATATAGCTTTTTTATTTTTTAAATGCTTTTGATTTTTAATATTGCCAGCGGAAAAGAAAATGTATCTATCACAATCATGCTGTGGGCAGAAGATGTGATAAGCATATGCTCGGTCTTGAGGTGAGACCATGGATCAGTCACCCAGGCAGGGGGATTAAGGTGCTCCCTTGATCTCCTAGTTGGGCTACTCCCATCATGGTTACAGCAACATCCCTGGGGCTACTACTCCCTATCCATGCAGATAGGTGGGGTATAGGCAAGCAGGACTGGGGAGTGGGAAGAAACACGTTGGCCACCACAGCTGAGCTGGGAGAAGTAATCCTGGAGAAGTAAGAGGATGGCACAGTCTCATGCCCTCTCTCTGCTCCTAACTCCACAATTTACCCATTAATTTACAGTGTTCTGATTTATTAATCATGACCCACTGTCTAACAGACTCCTCTGACATCACTACTTTCCTGTGGGTACATATTGCCCTTCTTTTACTGTAACAAGTGAAGAGGAGACATGGTCTATTGATCAGCTGATCCCTGTAAATCCAAACAATACCGAAGTAGATATCTGATCACGTATTTAGTCCTTAAGGTTTATTTTTTCATTTCTGTTTATTGAAATTTGTCTAATAAAGATACTTAGAAACAAAAGGGCCAGATACGCCTCCCATTGACGTAATAGCACAGTTCCTAGATGCAGTGAAAATATTTAAATTTCACATTCGATAATATGGATCTATAAACATCCACTCCTCAAATTCTTCTCAGCTCCCTCTCATCTGTCTAACGGCACATAACAGTACTTTAACAGTTAATAAATCAAAACCACCAAAGGGCCCAGTCTTGCAGCCCTTACTCAGATGAGTAATCCCATTGATTTAAACTAGCCTTCTTATGCAAGTAAAAGCTGAAAGATCAGGACCAAGAAAAGCAAATCCCCAAATAAAGTATGTATGGTTTTACTTCAGCTTAGTGTATACAAATAATGTTGACACATTACCTCATAGCAGGCATACTTATGGAATGGCGAATAGAGTAACTGCCATGTGAAAGCGAGAGAGAGGAAAGAGAAAAGACAGCGATATAAGCAACAGTTTGCAACATGATCAGCACACCGTATACATGGCAATTTATTTATTTTTAATTCAGAAGCGCTGGTACTCAGCTCCTGCTGTAAAGAGCTCTCCTCCTCACTTTGATCACAGATGTTCTGTGCCCCACCACCTCTGCAACTGATCAAGAGGCTGAATAGGGCTCAGAAGAACTGCACAGAGTATCTCCTGCTAACAATCCAATAATGGAATCAAACCTTTTCAGTTCACAAAAGCAAGGCATGTGCAAGCTAATATCATGCAGAGGGGTATGAAAGTGCCTTTGTATTCCCTGTGAAGGGTAAACCCTGTAAAGAGCTCTGTAGGTGGTGAATAAATGAAATTCTAGGGTTTCATGGTGAACATAAAACTCTCTTATTTGAAATTAAGAATGGCTCCCAACTACATTTAAATATTCAGGCTAGGAGTACTTCATTTACTGGAGGAGTATGTACTGTGCCAAAAATCCATTTATTGCTACTTTCACTATTGATTGACAGCCAAATCCTGGTCTTACTGAAGACAATGGGTGCTTTGCCTTGACTTAAGTGGCACCAGGATTTGATTCTGATCAACCAAAGTGATTATAACAATTAAGACACAAAAGCATTCAAATAAATTTTACATTATAATGTTCCTTATAAATTAGAAATGCACTTGCATAGTCTATCTATGAAATTGCTGTAAGTAGGGGGAGGAAATCACACACACACACGGACATAAAATAAAAAATTAGACATGGAAAGATCTATTTGGTCATATGAACCCATCTTCCTGCCAATGCAGGCATGTTCTCTATTGTATATTTTCTAGTCATCAGTAAAGACAAGAGAGTTTAAAAACTCTAATAAACCGTAATACACCAATAACCATTCAGTAATAAATGCAAAACAAGGTTTTAACATTCAACTATTTCACACTGCTTTTAAACTTAAAAAAAAGTACAAACCCTACAGCCCAAGCATTCCAAAAATGCAGTGGATCACATTCTCTTTTCCTGAACCCCCTACTAATGCCTGCAACAATTAACAATCCAGGTTAAATGAAACAAGCATATTTTCCACTTTGTTCTTGTGCCACGTAGGAAAGAAGCAGAAAACTGGAGCTATCTGAATAATTTAGAGCAGGCTGCTCATCTACTATCAGACACAAACCAAATATAAGCTCTAAGCAAAGAGATTATTTAATCCAAAATGACATTAAAACAGGATTCATTGGGAGGGGCCATGTGATGCAGGACATGAGTATGGAGAAAATTTCCCCAGTTCCTCATACCAATGCAATTTTATTTTCTTTAAAGAAAAATAAGGAGAGTGTATTCTTGCCACTCCACATTACTGAATTTATAGGATGAGAGAAGCTCTGGCCTAAAATGGTGACTAGGGCGGCTGTTAACATTACATGAAACACCTAAAAACTCTAGTGAGTTTATTAAGAAGGAGGGGCCTGTAAGGCTGTGGGAGCTTTAACCCGTTAGGTGCTGAGCAGAGTTCGGCAGAGAATGGTAATTCTGTTTCATGGAGAGTTTCAATATTTGGTTCCAGTCTGATTCAGAAACACTTCCCCCGCCCCAAATTTTGATATTTGCTGTGAAAGGGAACGCGACTCTACTGGGAGACCTTTGAACATTGTGAACTTAAACACAATTTTATGTGCTTTGCAGGCTCAGCACCTGCTTATTTTTATTAGTTAGGGCCATGTTCTACCCTTGGATGTGTCTGCAGGACTCGTGCTGAAGGCAACAGGAGTTCCTCAGTATATCTTAGGGCAGGACTTGGGCGTTTGTTTCACTTAAAAGGTGGTAATTAATCAGTGATATGACAGTTACAAAACTCTGCTGTCCAAACACAATTTGTACTGAGCTTTTGCCGTTTATGCTCCAACCTCTAAAAATAACAAGGGACAGTTGAGATAACCGAACTGCATGTAAATGGATGTGCCTGAGAGAAACATCTTTTGAACTCATTCGTTATGTGAATTTGAGTCTAATCTATCCAAGAATGTGGTAAACAACATTCTGAATCCAATCTGAAGGTCTTTTCACATACTCCAGTCATAACCCCTCTAGGTTCATCACACCGTAAAAATCAAGATGTTGTGGCTGATCTGGAACGTATTTTTATCTGGGAGAATAATGTTGAAAGGAAAGAGGGCACAGTGTTAAACAAGCCATACCAAAGTCAGCGGCAGTATTTATGAAGAGCAATATGCATCTTACCCAATCGAATGTGACCTAGGAGGGCAGCATAAAGAAAGAACAGCAAGAGTTAAGAGTTGGCATAGTATGAAGCAAAACATGGGTAAAAAAAAAAAAAAATCCAAACGATCTCCCATTAAAATGCCAAACCATCCTTGGGAGAAAAAGAAAATCATATGCATCAATTTCTTGACACTTGGAGAATGTGAATCAGTTGAAACTCCTTCAAATATACCTTCACCTACTGCTGTGTTACATAATCAAACAAATATTTGGCATGTACCAGAGTCTAGAGTATTAGTCCACTAAACCTTGTGCTGTCTCAGACGGTTTCATCTTCATTAAATCACTGTTTGAACAGACATTCTCGGGTTCAATGAGACAGCACAGTACAACACACTTACAGCCAACAAGACTGGGCTATAGGACATAATTTTTATTGAGGGGAAAAATTTAAATGAAAATAGTAAATAATAATAATAATGAGCATTAATGTTAAGAAACCTGTGTTTTCAGAATTGCCAGCCAGAACAGTGCTTAGGAAAACAGGAATATATCTGCCTAACTAATAATTGTAATAATAATACTTTTTAAATGTTAATAAAAGAAAATTAATTCTGCCAACACCCTTAAAAAAAAAATAATGAAAACTGCTCCATAAACTGCTATAATTCTTCCATCTGATGCAGAATGTAAGCTCACATATCAATTAGTTGGGATATTACATTCTATAACTAATGAATTTTCAAATGGAAAAGGGAAATGCGTGCCAGTTTCTTGTCAGTGGTCTTAAAAATCTAATGTACTGCTCTAAATAATGCTGTACAACCAAAATAAAACCTGTGGTGAAACAGCCTGCTATATACTAACAGAGACTTCTCAAATGATCTCGATTGCGTTTATGATTAGTGACATGGCTCAGTGCATGTTATTGGGCTACATGGCTTGTTTCACTTTATGCAAGATTTTAAAGGAAGAACTCTACCATCCCATCAGTCCATACCCATGGATAGTATACAAACTAAGGGCTAGATTGCAATTTGGAGTACATACCCCTGGCATGGCACAAAGGGGAAGTAAAAGCATGCCTATGCTCCTATATGGGCTAGCCATATTGTGGGTTTGGGTGTGCTGGGAGAAGCAGCAGCAGCAGCAGCAGCATCTGCTACTCCTCCAGTTCACAGCAAAGGTCTGGGGAGTGGGCAGAACTTTGCCTGGCCTGGTCCTGGAGTGGTGGAACAACATGCTACCTCTTGCTATGGGCTTTTTCCTTATGGCACAATCTAGTGCTAAGTGACACAGGGGCTAGATGCTACAAAGTACATAGAGTTGGTCAACAGCAGGAAACAGCCACACTATGCCTTACAGCACTGAATGGACTGCATGTGCAATACAACAGTCTCACAATGCAATCCAGTATTGCCAGAAATATAGGCAGGACAATTAAAGACCACGTCATTCACTGTCACACAGAATGAAGCCAGGACAGTTAAAGATAAAGCATATGACAAACCAACCACTGATGAGCTCATGGATTAGGGGGTGTTATTGAACATGACTGCATGGGAGTTACTGACATGTGACATTAATGGATATGTGGATTAATGTCACATATCCTGACCCTGGGCTCTGGAGTCTCTTGCTGGCTGATTTAGTAAACAATCACTCTATAGAACTGGTTTGGTTGCCAACACCAGGACCTGCCCGCAGGATGCCTATAGTAGCAAGACACCTACCTACCATGTATCTATGCAATAGGCACTATTAACACAGTCTGTTCTCCTGCATATTGGGGAGGTGGTGTGAATTACTGTTTCTATAATCGCTTCTCCACTCTTCTGCAGTGTAACATTTGGACTCCTGACCTTGTACTGCCATAGGGACACAGGCATTGACTTATATTTTTCCTGGTGGGTGCTCCACCCCTGCTCTGCCCCCACTCCACCTCTTCCCGCCTTTTCTTTTACTGCCACACATGCTACATACTACACAATGTTGCCCTTCCTAGTTCTTTCTCTGAGAATTTAGCTTCTTGAGGACAATAATGGAACATGACCTGGGGAGAGCCTAGCACAAGCCTTGCTCCACTTTACATGCTATTTGGACTATTTTTGATATATGACTTTTTTGTATCACGGGGTAGCTGTGTTAGTCTGTATCTACAAAACAACAAGGAGTCTGGTGGCACCTTAAAGACTAACAGATTTATTTGGGCATAAGCTTTCATGGGTAAAAACCTCACTTCTCTATGAATCTGAAGAAGTGAGGTTTTTACCCACGAAACTTATGCCCAAATAAATCTGTTAGTCTTTAAGGTGCCACCAGACTCCTTGTTGACTTTTTTTTGTAAATACTGTCAGGGGTAATCATGGTGGAATACTCTTTTGGATTATCTATTGGGACCCTGCATCTTCAGAAAAAAAAAGGGGGGGGGGGGGGGAAGACACGTGCTTCTGACAATGTCATGGATAATGATCAGTCCATTTTGGGCTCAGGAAACCACTGGGAGGCATGTTCTGCTAATATGAGACCATTTATATCTATGGTGCAGGAAGCCACTCACTCAGCCAGATCCACACATGGAGAACAGTGACTTGAGAGACGAGGGAAGAATTTGGAAAAAGTCATACCGTGCCGAGACCTGACCTTGCATTTTACTGTAGAATCTCCAGTACTCTAGAATCTATCCCTAGGAGACTAACTTCAAACCCAGTGCAAAGCATAAGGAAAGGGATTTTGCCTGGGAGATGCTGAGTAGATGGAATCTTCCCTACCTGTGACCAGGTGCCAGTGCAGAGACTGGCACAGTCACTCTACACCACTGTTCTAAATTCTAGATTATAATAGTGGCAAAGGGCTTGTCCATTATGCAGAGGGTGGGCCCAGATCCTGGCCATAAGTCTAACATGCCATAGCCCCACTCACAGCAAAGCAGAGCTCAAGGGGTGCAGATTTCCCTTATGCAGCCTCTGGCCTCCCCTCTCTTCATGCTGAAGAGCAGCAGTGGTTCTGGTGCTTGCTAAGCCTTGCTGTGCTGGGAGGGGACTGGGGCGGGAGTATCAGGATTTACCAAGCTTTCAAATTTAACAAATAAGTACCAGAAAAAGCAAAAAACAAACAAACCCCCTTATTTGGCTGCAAAGAATTATGCACGAAACATTCGCAGCAAAACCTGCCTGCATTTGAAATACTGTAAATTGGGTTAATGCTGCTATTTAACTATATTTGCTTTAGTCATGCATTGCTCAATTACGACAAAAATATTTGTGCAATAATTTGCTGATTTCTCTATGAATTAAGGCTCTTATTCTGTGAGGCTGTAAGGGTCCATGTGGATCCAATGGCAGGACTGGAACATGAAATCTGGTTGCACTAGTCTACCAGCAATTGAGAAAATATAATGTAGTCTTGATTTCCCCATTGTACAGTGATTCCATTTTTAAAAATGTATCTATTTTGGAGTTTTCAATAGTGCTACTTATACAACTGATATACAGTAAGTGATTCAAAGTACAAGAGTATCTTGTACAGAGCTCTTCCCCCTGTAAATATCTCGCTGGTGAAGCGAGTTGCTATCAGATATTTAGCCTCTCTGCTCAATTATATGATTTGCACAGACATTTCTTTTGAGTTAGTCTACTAACTTTCCCTTTGAAAGTACGGAACAAGGCTTTTTGTGCTAGGACTTATCAAATCTAAAATGTTAAGAAATTTAGTGTCTGCAATATAGAAAAATCAGGACAAAAAGCCTATTAACTAAAAATGCTGGAGGAGAAATTCTGTGAGCCTACTCTTTTTTTTTTTTAAACTTCATATTGTTTATAGTTTCTTCCTTTGTTCCTTTATTCTGAGAGATCCTAGTGAAATTAACATTTTTAAAGATACACTGTCAGGTAGCTAAAGCCGAACACTCAGCTGGTGTGTGAAAAGCACAGATCCTAACAATTTCTTAATAATATGTATTATTTTCAATTAAACTTCTTTGGATCTAAACAGTCCAGCAGCGTTTGCAACCAAAACTTTGCCGACTTGTGCTAGCCTGTGAAAACTGGAAAGTGAACCTGAAATCAAAGTCTGGTTTCTATACTGATTAAGCCCAATGAAATAAAATACTGTTTGCTTATTCTTTGTAATAGTCTTTGTTTTAAAAATCAACGGTGCCACTAGTAATTCTTAACGGGACCGAGGACCAAGATGAGCAATATGAGGTTCTGCACTAGTGACAAGTGTCAGGGTAGGTGCCTTGTTGCCCTTTAGGGCTAGAAAGAAGAGTTTTAGATCGGTGGAAAGGGAAGAGTCCCAGATTCCCAATGGGTCAAACCATACTTGCTTCTCGCTCTGGAAAGGCCCAAGATATCAGATACATTTGGGATTCTTTCATTTTAATTCAGGCTAACATCTTGACCTTGCAAAGAGATCCATGTGCATGTGTGTGTCCTACAGAGTGTCCCATTGAAGTCAACAGGACTCATGTGGAAGTAAGGGTTTGTACCTACACCTCTCTGCAGGCTCCATTTTTTTTTAATTACACCAGTGTATTTCTGGAGTGAACTGATGAAAGTGTCCAAAATGTTTTTCAATTTATTTTCCCCCAAGAATAGTGCAGAGGCAGGCCTGTTTTCTTCGAAAGAGGTCTGTCTCTAAAAATCCATTTATGAATAAAATTAGCTGCATTTTCCCCGGGTTTATCTATACACCTCCCTAGGTTTGCAAAGTTATTTAGAAGGGATTCCAAGTTGCAATACCTTTTCTTTCTACCAGGACTCATAACAGAAATACATCTTAATACACAACAATTTTTTCCTTTAGGCTGAAAAACGTATGGTATAAAATCATCACAACGAGCAGTATCAGCAGTAATACTTTAAATCCTAATTTAGAAAGAAAGCCTGCCAAGTGTTCTTTTGTCTTTCTCCCTTCCCCCGAAATAAAACCAGAAGTGAATTTCTGTACCTCATATCTCCAAATTTCTTGCCAATGGCTGTTCCTACATTGCTGATAGCTGCTGTTGCCTTCTGTCCTGCATGGCTCAGAGTTTCATGTGTTTTCTTATAACTAGAAATAAAAGCAAAATAGTGGTAAGTCGTTCATATAAAAAGAGAACAGATGCTCATCTGTGCTGCAATTCATTTTTATTCTCCATATTTCTAAATTTGAAAAACATTCCTACTAAGGGTTAAGAATTGAGATGGTTTGTCAGGTTAGGAGGTGCAATGCATGCTTCTTACGTAGCTTTCCAAATGCAGGCTGGCCCTAATAGGACCATATTACCTTCCAGTGGAGTGAATCCCTCCCTGTGTCGCCTCAGAGAGCATATCCTTTGAGTGGGTTGGTGCAATCCATTTAAAGGTGAAATGCAGTCATTACACACCTTAAATTCTGGAATATATTTTAATATAACGAAAATCAAAACAGTTTATAGAAATATCAGACACTATTTCACTAAATCCATCATTGTAAAGTGAGGGGGAAATTGTCCCTCAGGGCTGCTGATATTGTACTGATATACATCCCAGCAAAAAGTCTGAGGATACAATGTAGGACTCAGAAAACAAATCTTCTGTTTGAGGGCATGGGAAAGAAAGCAATCTCAAAAGCTGTTGTAAATTTTACTACAACTTGACTTATAATCTATATTCCTGGACGCATCATCAGAGCTGATCAAGTAACAAAAACAATTGAGTGAAATTTTAGCAATTTTTCTTGCATTTTTGGTCTAAATACAAAGTTCCTATGAAAAATCAATTTTTGAAAAATGTCAACCAATATTAATTATTAATATAATAGAAACCTATTGTAATAGAAACTTAGCCACAAAGCGGTTGCAATTTATAAAGACAAAGTGTGCCATAGCCAGTGAAAATCATCAGGGTGATGACAAGCATACGTATTTTCTTTTTATATTGTATATACCGTATATACTCATTCATTAGCCTGTTCGTTTATAAGCCGACCTCCCAAGATGGTTAGGTAAAAATAGCAAAAACTTTATGACCTTTTCATAAGCTGACCCTATATTTCAGGTGTTGGCAAACTTTGGCTCCTGGCCGTCAGGGTAAGCCGCTGGCGGGTTGGGACGTTTTGTTTACTTGGAGCGTCTGCAGGCGCGCCACTTCCCACAGCTCCCATTGGCTGTCAACGGCTAACCGCGGCCACAGGGAGCTGAGGAGCTCCATGCCTGCAGACGCTCCAGGTAAACAAAATGACAATGTATTAGATATTCAATTCAATGATTCCATAGAGTTTAAAATCATCAAATTTTGGTGTAGACCCGTTCATAAGCCAACCCCCACTCTTTGATGCGTCACTTTACCAAAAATATTCGGCTTATGAACGAGTAATATATATATAAAATATATAAAAACTACACTCAGTTGCTCCTATACACAGTCATTGTCTGTGCAATTTTTGTTTTTGTTATCTGCCACTATTAATATTGTAACCTGGTATTTAATCCTTGCATCTTACTTTTTTAATTTTAAGTGTTGCTTACTTAGGGCTTGATTCTGCTCCACTGAAGTAAACGGCGGTACATCATTGACTTCAATGGGAGTAGGCACAAACACTTATTGAATAGGAAAACTAGCTTAATTCTCTCAGTACTACTCTATCTCATTGGATTATCAAAGTAACAGCTTCACATTTGACTGTTTTAAATATATTTATGTATATTTTTAAAACACGCCCTAAAATGATTTACTTATCTTTTCAATTAGGTAAAGTAATGCCAATCTTTAGTGTTACACTTTGTTATTCGTTAACTACTGAAGAAAATAAAAATGCTCATAAGATGAAAAAAGGCTCCTGAAGAAATCTGGACAGCAAGTGCACATTCAAAGCAGTTCTGAAATCTTTCTTAAATCACTCAAGTAATGTTTGGCACGTGTATTCAGACACACAATCTTCTTAATTCACACACTGCTGATTTATAGGACATGCTTTGACTTGTCATGCTTTCATTTCCCCTCAATACTGTTTAACCTATGAATTGTGAAACAGTTTATCATTCCACTTTTCTGCACTGACAGTTCTTTTGTTGAGCAGACAAATTCTGATCACATTAAAGCCGCCCTCTCTAGGGTATAAATGACATTTTCAGTGAAGCAAAATGAACCCCGAATTAGGAATACTGACCTAACAAAATGAAAGCACTTGCAATAAATTACCTTATACTCTGACTATATTGCTGAAAAAGAACTTTAGAAATGAACATGAAAGCAATATTTTGTTGGGCTTATTTATCCTTTCAGCACACGCAACAGAAAAATACATACCAGAGACCAGTTGGGAAACCTCATTGCCTAGTTCCTTCAGCAGAAAATTGTTTTCTTACTTCCCATATGTATGAAAATAATATAGCTTCGGTGGGTGGGGGAAATGGGGACAAAAAAGGAGAAATAAAAATAAAATAAAATGGCATTCACATTTACCATATAGTATGTCATATATATTACCCTCATTACCTCCATGCTATGTCTTTCATAGCATATAATGATAAAAGAAGCAGAATTAAGGCTGCCAGGCAAACCTTGCTCCTTACTCTGGTAAAATCTCAAACTTTATTACCACATGGTTTCCCAATGAACACACTTTGATTATATATACTCCGTACCCCCTAAAAGCAAATGTTTGCCAGATGATTCAGCAGATGACAGTTCTAGAACTCCAGTACTCTGCTCCTGCTCTCAGTAAGTGACATTGCTAGAATGACTGCAAGTGCTGGAGAAAAGAGTGACTTGCAAAGGAAAGAACAGGGATTACGCCTGGTGATGGTTTTCTGTTTTTTGTTTTTTTTTTAAATGGTATGTAAAGAAGGCCCAAAAGTTAGTTTGTTTTTAAAAGGGTCTCGTCTCATCTCCCCTCCCGACTCCTGCTTGTTTTTCACCTTAGAAATATCAAGAACATCACATTTTTTGGTTTGGGTCTTACATGTGTATTGTGAGCTCTCTCAGCACTGTATTGAAAGGAGGTGGGTGGGAGTGCTGAATCTTTAACAAAACCATCTTTTCTCCCAGCTGCATATTTGGATATTTGAGTTACGTAGGTGTTACCAAAAACATACAAAAGCCAGAGAGCTTTAAATATTTTTAGCAAGAACTACTTCCCCTCACATATCACATTTAACTGCATGGCATCTCCAATACCATAATCTTCCCAGCACTTCTCCACAGACCTGCTCCAAAGTCCATGGAAGTCAAAGGAAGGTCTTTCCAGTAACTTGAATGGGCTTTGGATAGACTCCCAGCTGTTTAGACAGCCTTTCAGGAAAAAAAAAGATAGACAAAGTTTTACTTTTGAACATGATAAACAACGTGGCGGTGAAGGTGGACCATGAAGAAACCTTTTAGGCCTTCTTTATACATCAAAGAAGCTAAAAAAAGGGTACAAATCCATTTTTTCCTCCTCATTTTCAAGTCACCTTTCAAAGGCACATTCAGGAACTAGATTTGCTAAGAGGACCTGGATATCTGGCCTTTCAACCTCCAGGTCATCAATTCAAATCCACCACAAGTCGGTAACAGAAGGTTTTATTTGACAGTTGATTGATAACATCTGTCAAATAAGTTGGAGGTCTCATTCAAATTCACAGCAGACAGAGGCTCACCTCACAGAATGCCATCAAAACTGGCTCCACAAGGGGGTGCCTCAGCAACGAGAGCAGGACTGAATAACCATGGCGACTGAACCCTCATCTTAACAGGGTTGCCAACTTTCTGATTACAGAAATCTGAACACCCTTGCCCCACACCCTGCCCCTTCTCACAGGCCCTGACAGCAGGCACTGCCCCCATGGTTCCCGGCCAATGGGAGCTGCAGAGCCGGCACTCGGGCAGACCCTCCCTAGCCACCCCTGCACCTAGGGGCCGCAGGGACATGTCGCCACTTCCAGGAGCCATGCAAAACCAGGGCAGGGAGGGAGCCTGCCTTAGTCCCGCTGCGCTGCCGATCAAACTTTTAATGGCCTGGTCAGTGGTGCTGATGGGAGCTGCCAGAATCCCTTTTTGACCAGGCACTCTGACTGAAAAACGGATGCCTGGCAACCCTACGGTGGTACCTAAGCCAGGGGTTCTAGCACACTGCTGGAGCAAGGTAAGGAAGTTTACTTAGCTTGTAAGCTCTTTGGGAGCAGGCACTGTCTGTTCTGATTTGTATAGTGCTTAGCACAATGAAGTCCTGGTTCATGACTATGGCTTCTAAGCACGACTAAAATAAATAAATAAAATAAATAAGAATTGCTGCTTCCTGTGACAAGATTTTTTCCTTTAGATAACTGGAAGGCCCGATTCTTTAGTGCTGACAATCTGGCACCTTTTACAAAAACATCCAGGTCACATTAAATGATGGTATGTGTTTAAAATGGAGAGATGCTATTTTATTAAAGTATTCTTTCTAATTTGCCTTATTTCTTTAAAAGTGATTCTCCTGTTACTAATGCCTGCTTTATACCTGTGTCCTTCAAATGACATCAATCAATGTTCCCTAGGGCAAGAGAGCAGGATTGGGCCTTAAAGTAACTTTTTACAGTTCTAAGTGTACAGCCCTGTGGTTACGTTGATTGTCTTAAAAAAAAAATCAAATATACACATTCTAGCATCATGGGAAGATTCATTCTTTCACAATGGAAGCAAAATATACCCCAAAATAATGCATTTTTACACATTGTGGTTGAAATCTCGGCTCTGTTCAAGTCAACAGAAATTTAAGTTTCCTCTCCAAGGTACTGCTACTGTGTGCTAGGTTGACGCTGAGAGTGACCAGTATTTCCCCCCCCGCTATATAAATACCAAAGGCAATGGATCATAGGTATCTAATGCTTCCCCCGACCCCACTCCAAAAAAATCAAAAGCCTGCCTGCCACATGGAATTCACTCTAACCTCTACTTCTGATCTATCACACACACCTCAGAAAAGCTCCCGGAAAGTTGATAATGTTTTATAAATATGCTGCTGATTATAGACAAATTCAGAAGCTACAACCCAAATTTATCAAATTCTCACACAATTGATTTGCATTTGTAGGGATTAGAGGTTATCCCAAACTGACTAGCCAAAAGCAACATGCAATTTGATGGCTCTTTTCAGTAGAGGTAAAATAAATTCCATTCTCTCTGCCATCAACTTACCTTGGTCTTAAACGATTACATTTTCCAACACTAAGCTCCATTCATCATGCCTGCATTTTTTATTTGCTCCAGTTCAGGAAAGCCATTATGCACATGCTCAACGTTAAGCACGTGCACAGTGTTGTCCTAAATAGGGATGCTTAAACAAATCAGGGCCATAATACAGACTAGCATAATTACAAGGTTCGCACTCCCCGATAGCCAATAAGGAGCATGTTACACGGGAATTTATTTATGGGTTTAATGTAGCTGGAAGCCAAGGCAAGAAACCTCTAGGAAACAGCATGTGTGTTATTTAACAGAGTGACTGTACTCAAAAAAGAATCTCACTGTTATAATTTAGAGCTGAATATTTGAATAAAACAACTGGTAAGCGCCTTTTCTTTTTCATGCAAGTATAAGCAGCTCTATGCCACAAACTACCCAGATGTCTTATCTATGTATGTATTGCAAGTTCTACACATGGCACTGAAACTTTAAAGGGATAATCCCCGAATGCCTGTGTCCAGCAGACAAGCACTTCTTTAGTTAATAAACAAATACATAGATGAAGACAAACTCTCTCATTTGTGTCTATAAAAATATTACTTTGCTTAGAGCACACATTCATTCTAGGGACCAGATGAAATAAGGCAGATTGTCAGTCTGACTAATATTACTTTTTTGTAGCTCCCATAAATACTCTGTTCTTCCTAATGTTTCTATTAGGAAGAGGGCAGCATTTGTGTTCCTAATACTATAGATGTTACATAACACTATAAGTCCATCTAAGACTGTTATGCAAATAGTCTTTTTTGAGCTAATGACACCACCAACTCTCTGGAAAGCTGAGCTCGGATGTGGAAAAAAATGGCAGTGCTGGAGTAGGAAAGCTTTGTGAAACTCTCAAACACTGACGGGAACAATAATGAAACAATAAATCAACAAGACAACAGACAACACTGGCCATTATGGAGATAGGAACTTTAACTTGGACTCCGCTAAAATTACCTCAGGGTCAATCTAACACAGGGATGAAATCAAATCTCTTTCTCCCCCCAGATTTTTATCCTCCTTTCAGATCAGATGTAATCTTTTTCACAAATGACAAGTCCACAGAGGTTAGTGGTTTTGCCTCATTATACATGGTTACTGAATTATATGTTAACCGTGCATTTGTTCAACACTATTTGTTCGGATGCTTTTGGCTCCTCATATTTATATGCATAAGTCTTTCTATTTTAGACCATGTCAATAATACTGGTAAGTGGTGACCTCTTTAGCAGTGTTTCTGACTTCTGGGGACATTATTATGTTTCATCAGCATTAATAGCATGAGCCAACTCTTTTCAAATTCTCATGTAACATACTCTCACTTGTGGTTGGTTTTTTTAATATGCTTCACAATTTAAATGTTTTTAGAAGCCTCTAAGGGTAGCAACGAAATTCAGTATTCAGTTTAAGAACTATAAAGGCTAATTCAAATTTGCTCTGAGGGGAAAAAAAAGTGTAGAATAGACAGTGTTTATTAATTACCTCCCTGGACTGCCGAATGCTCATATCTGCTGAATCATGTGATCTATAACAGCTTTTCACTATTGGCCTTCAAGCAACCATTATTTATAATTACTTGGTAAGCACTGACAGTGTGGGATCTGTGGACATAAATAACAATGACAAGGTCTTAAGATGGTCAATAGTTGGTCAAAAGCTGGCTGAAACCGGGCCAAATGACCCTGAGTCTTCAGACTGAGAAGCCTAAGATGCAGTACATTTAGAGCAAAGATATTCAAGAAACACTGGATCACCGACACACTTGTGTTAGTTTCACATGGTAAATTCATTAGGCCTCTCTTCATGCTCACACTGATGTAAAGCCACTGAGTTTAGTAGCGTTACTTCAGATTTACACTAGCCTATGTAAGAGCAGAATCAGACACTGATTTCAATAGAATTACTCCTGAATTACATTAAATTATAAAAATCAGGCCTCCTGTATTTAAGGCATCAACATTTATTTCATGGTATCAGAGGAGAGGGAATGCATGTAGGGGAGGGGGAGGTTTTAAAAAAAAAATATTGTCCATTTTTACCCTGCTTGCTTTATCCAAAAAGGGGTTAAATAATAGAATTTGACACCTAAGCAAATATGGTACATGAATCACTACCAGGGTTAATCTGTAAATTAAACTGACCTGCCTCAATCTGAGTATTTCTAGTATTTACGTTTTGTTACTTTGTTACCTTCAGCCGTAGCAATTTAGTTTAAAGCTTTTTTAATTAAATTCTCCTTTCATTTTTCTCTGTAGGATATAGTACCTAGTGATTTCAAGAACATTCATGATGATATTATTGGAGGCAATCTTACAGCAGACATGCACTCTATAGTTAGATATTATTTTTCACGAACTATTTACAGTAAAATAAACTTCTTCACGAATTATTGTGCCACTGATAACTTACCTCCCAGGGAGCGAAGGTATCCTCCATATGTAAAGTAGATTTATAGTATATTTTGATCATATCACCTAACAAGCTTGAATGTTATGTAATCCTTTTCCCCTATTTGCATTGTCTTGAAATATGAGAACAAGGCACTACTGCTGATTTTTATGGCAGACTTAATTCAAACAAAAAAGGGAAATATTGCTTCACACAATATGTAATCAGCAGAAAATACTGCTTCACACAATGTATAGTCAGGCTTCATACATTTATGATGTCATCGAGTTAGATACTGTAAGTGGATTCTTAAATGACCATCATTTGCAATTACACAGAATAAAACAGGGTAATCAAATCTCATGCTTCAAGGTACCAGCTGATCTCATCAGATCAGGAAGGAATTGCTCCTCAACTGTCAGGTGAAGTTTGACCTTCCTTTGAAGACTCAAACATAAGCCAGTAGAACGAAGATATCAATATATTATTTGTATCTCGTATGGCAAATCATGTATTTGATATGACATTTGGATTTAAAAACTTGCATTCTATGGAATTAACAGAGAACACATTAGTTAGATTAAGAATTGGCTCATTGACACATCTCAAATACAGTTGCATCAGTGAGTGTGGCTATTTCTAATGGGTCCCCCAGGATTGGTTCTTTGTCCAATGCCATTCAATATTTTTTTTTAAAATCAATGCTCTAGATGAAATCTTTGTTGATAAAGTTGGCAGGTAACACAAAAATTGGTGGGACTGTAAATAATGAAAACAGCTTACTGTTACAGAATTATCTGAAATTGCATGGTTCAATGGTCACAATCCAACATGTACATCTCACCAAGTCCCTGCATTGCAGGTGCCTCAGGCATTGGTGACACTTTGGTCTCTCCTGTGGCACACAACAGTTTGGTCTCCTGAGGACTGAAATGCTTAGTCTAACCCAATTTACTGTACAGGGGTAACTGAGTGAAATTAATGGCCTGGGATATAAAGGCTTAATGAGCTAATGGTTCCTTCTGGCATTAAATTCTATGAAACTATGAATAATAATGTATAATATTTTAAAATCAGCTTCAGTAAAGCATATGACAACATATACTGTTAATTAATATACCTTCATTTTGCTAATGACATTCAATGTTGTTCTGTTTCGGTCTTTTCTGGCAAAGA